TATACAATTTACTGACATTGATTACATTCTTCAAGGTGTGTAACCTTTCTCACACTCCTTTCCATAGGATTTTCTTGGCTGTAATCTTTATGGAAGCAGATTGCCAGATTTTTCTTCTGCAGGGCCACTGTGTGGGTTCCAACCACCAACCTTTCGGTTAGCAGCCAAGTGCTTAATCGTTTTGCTACCAGGGCTGCTACTAAGAATATTAGGACTAGAAATGTAGATTTTTGGAGTTATCAACATACATATGGTAATTGAAACCATAGACAGGGATGAAACCTATGGAGCCATGTATAGAGGGAGATGAGCTGCATGATTGCCATAGGCAGTTGTGTGAGTTGTGGGCCAAGGATGGGACTCTGGGGAACACCAAATACTGACGGAAGGGCAGAGGATTATGAGCTCATGAGGAGACTTTCCGCTGACCAGAGAAGTCATAGGAAAATCAGGAGAATGTGGTGGTGCCATGTAAGCTTAGGGAAAATATGGATAAGTGGTATCAAATGATGCCAACACATCAAAAAAGAGGAAGACTTAAAAGTTTCTATTAGTTTTAGAAACAAAAAAAGTCATGGATGACTTTGGTAAAGAGATGTTTTAGTGGAGTGATGGGGGTAGAATGCAGAGGCTTAAGCTAGAAGTGGACATAGGACTGAGTGAGAGCCCTTTTTTATGGGTTATTGTTGTTGAGGGAGCCCTGGTGGCGCAGTGGTTAAGAGCTTGGCTGCTAACCAAAATGTCAGCAGTTCAAACCCACTAGCTGCTCCTTGCAAACCCTATGAGGCAGTTCTCCTCTGTCCTATAGGGTCACTATGAGTTGGAGTCGACTCCACGGCGGAGGGTTTGGTGTTTTTTTTTGGTTGTTCTTTAGTAGCCCTGGTGGTGCAGTGGCTAAGCGCTCTGGCTGCTAACTGGAAGGTCCGCATTTCAAACCTACCAGTCACTCCTTGGGAGAAAGATGTGGCAGTCTACTTCCATAAAGATTACAGCCTTTGAAACCCTATGGTGCAATTCTACTCTTTCCTATAGGGTCACTATGAGTTGGAATCGACTTCATGGCAATGAGTTTGGGGTTGTTCTTGTTTAATGTGAGAGAAACCAGAGAATGTTTGCATGTTTATAGAGGGAGGCATTAAGGAGGGAGAAGAGGGGAGGCTGCAGAGGAGCAGGGGGGCCTGAGGGACTGGATTCAAGAGCTGTGGGGAAAGGGTTAGCCTTGCCAGGTAGGAAGGGGGCAGGGATGAGCAGAGGTACAGATACATTTGTAGTGGCAGAATGCTGAAGGAGTTTGGGTCTGATGGCTTTTATTATTCTTCTGTGAAGCAGGAGACACAATCATCTGTTAAGAATGAGGGGGAAGCTGAGGGGTCAGTGGTTTCAGAGAGCTATTGTGGAGAACAGGGTAGAGAACTGATTAATGAAACATAAAAGGATTGCTGGGTAAAGCGTAGAAGGTCCCATTGGAGTTGGAAACTGTGATTTATGAATTTCACCTATCTGAGTGGCTGTGTGGAGTCCCTGGGTGAGGCAATGGTTAAACTGCTCAGCAGCTAACTGAAAGGTTGGAGGTTTGAGTCCCCCCAGACATACCTCGGAAGAAAGGCCTGGCGATCTACTTCTGAAAAATCACAAATTGAAACCCCTATGGAGCACAGTTCTACTACTTTGACACACATGGGGTTGCCATGAGTCTGAATTGACTCGATGGCAACTGGTAGAGTGGCTGTGTACTTTGCAGCCCAGGTGCTGAGTTTGCTGATGGTTTATTGTGAGGACAAATGGCTGAAGGATTTGCGAATACTGGGAGAAGAGAGGTTCTACTGGGTGCAGCAAATGGTTAAGCACTCGGATACTAACCAAAAGGTTGGAGGTTCGAGCCCACCCAGAGGAACCTTGGAAGAAAGGCATGACTTGTGAAAGGTCACAGCATTGAAAACTCCATGGAGCAGTTCTACTTTGAAACACATGGGGTTGCCATGGGTTGGAATCAATCCCAGGGCAACTGGTTTGGGTGAAGAGGTGCTGAAGGGATGGCTGATGGGATCTAAGGGAAGAAATGAAGAGAAGAGCAGGATGACAGTTTGAGGGAAAGTAATGGTACAAACTGTGCACAGCATGGGGATATCATTACATTTAATTGGTGTTGATGTTTTCTGTCAGCCTATTATACTGTAAACTCCTGGAGGGTAAGTGTTCTTATTTTTGAGAAAAGTAGTAGCTTATTAAATGAATAGTACTTACCTTAAATGGTTATCTTGAGGTTAGGATAAGAATGCACACAAGAATATTTGGTGTGCATTTAAGAAGTGTTAAATGTTATTTGAATTAGAATCTGAAAGAATAGTTTTCAGTATAATTCAGAGTGTGATTTTTCAGTGTAGAAAAAAATTACAATAAGACAAAATGATAGGAAGTGATATAAATGAACACGGAATTTGAATAAGAAGACTCAGATTTTGGAGTCTGAACTCCTGTTTGGAGTTTCAGCTCTGCCACTTGTAAGCTGGGTAATATGTACAAGTCACTTGATCTTGTTGAGGTCCTCAGCATCCTCAAATGGGCAATTCATGCTTACATTACAAGGTGGTGTGGTGGCTTGTAAAATGGAAAGTGTTACATTTAATGGAAACACTGATGATAATTAAAATTGAGCTTTGTATTGAACAGTACTCTATCTTACTCTGCTCCCAATTTGTAGAATGGCATAGCCTCCATTACATTTCTTCATTCTGTCCTCACATTCTGCCCTTCATTCCATCCTTACATTCTGTCCTTTATTCTGTTTTTCACATAGTAGGTTCTCAGGAATCTGTTCTCAGGGATTAAACAAATTCGTGTAAGTACTTATTTATCACCCTCCTAAGCAACTAAAAATGAGGCAACACTGAGTGGCAGAATGCGTACGTACTAGAAAAAGCCCAGGCTTTAGATCCTGATAGAGCTGAGCTGAGATAGATCATGGTTTAAATTCCAGACTATTCACTCACTAGCTGTTTGACATTGGGCAAGTTATCAGTCTCAATTTCACCTTTTATAAAATGGGGATAATAGTACCTGTCTGGTAGAGTTATTGTGAGGGTTAAACCAGATAGTGTATGTAAACTACTTAGCATAGTGCCTACACATGGTAAGTACCAGAAATCAAACAAACAAAAAACCCAGTTGCTCTCCCGTAGATTCTGACTCATGGCAACTCCACGTGCGCCAGAGTAGGATTGCACTTTTGGAAGTAGATCCACAGGCATTTATTCCGAGGTACCGCTGGGATAACCTTCAGTTAGTAGTCCAGTGCCTAAACAGTGCCTAACCTTTAACTTTCAGTTAGTAGCCCAGTGCCTAACCATTTGCACCATGCAGGGACTCCTACGGTAAGTACAGTAGTCAATAAATAGTAGCTATTATTAGCTACATCATAACCATGCAGTCTGACTTAAAGGAAACCTATGTAAAATACTTGGTTCATAATTGGTGCTTAATAAATGGTAGTTATTACAGCAACTATAATCCAAATCAGGAGAAAATATTGACTCTTTTTTGTAATGTTTAACTTCAAGTAAGACACAAAAGGTGCTTCCTAGCTTGAGTACTACTGATTGCACAATACTGGTGGTTAGGGAAAAAAGTTTAATGAGATTCATTGAGTGTGTGTCTGACACACACTAGCTCAGCTATGATCACAAAAGTTGTAAACTTTTAACAGGTAAAAGTATTTTAAAAAGTGATTGAATTGTTATTGCCTGGTATTTGAGAAAGCACTCTTCCTGCAAATTAATTCTGCGTTTATGAAACACAGCGTATAAAAGTGTTCTGTTTTAGGTAATCCACAAATTTAGTGCCACATATTAGGCAGTTAGAAAGCATATGTTTAGTCCTTTTGACACAAGTACTGCCCAGAGGGCAGACTGTTACTGTTTCAGACAGCAATAGCACAACTTCATGAAATAATTTTTACATAACAGAAATAATAGGGGGAGGAGAGGCATCATTATGGGTCTACTACTTGGTTCCAGTGCTTTTCATCTTGACCAAAGAATAATAGCTCTCACCCACACCTCAGCCCCTAAATTCAAACTGTACTCCTGTTTGAGGTGGTCTCGGCCTACCCCTAGTGTTGCCATAAATCATGGCACTGTCCTCTGTTGGTTTCTTGAAAACCTTCCACCAGGCTTGGGCTTTACAGGGTTAAAGCGAGGTGCTGTGGAAATCGGATACTAAGTAAGTATCAGGAATGCTACACGAGTTACAAACCTTCAAAGCTTTCTAAGGATGTCGGTCAGTGAGGCTGCCCTCAGGCAGGCGCAAACTTGGATTTCCACCTCAAAGCCTTTGTCTCACATACTTTGGAGAGGTTATTAGGAGGCGACCAGTCCCTAGAGAAAGACATCATGCTTGGTGCAGTAGAGGGTAAGCAAAAGAGAGGAGGACCCTCAAAGAGATGGATTGACACAGTGGCTGCAACATGGGCTCAAGCATAGCAACTGTTGTGAAGACCGCGCAGGACCAGGCAGTGTTTCCTTCTGTTGTACATAGGGTCGCTATGAATCCAAACCGGCACCTAATAACCTCCAAACAGAGTAGACCGGTTACAGGCGAGGAACTCGCACCACTGCGGACGCCGTTTCCTTTCCCAGGTGAAAACCAGATGGCCAAGAGAGGTTCTAAACGGGGATCCGGGAAAGTTAGAGGAAAACAGAGAAGTTTCTAGACTATGGTTGCGGGGGCAGGAAAGGGAGGAAGGGGTGGTCGGGGGGAGGATGACCACCCCAGATGGCGCCCCTGAGAGGGGTGTGTCCGGCTGGAAGGACGTCTCCAGGTGTCGGGAACTCAGTTTCTCCGGCCAGTCCTCCGTGGTGTGACACAAGAGCTGCTGCCCTGGAATGACATGGTGTTGTCATATTTCTTGGCAGAACTAAAGTACTCAAAGGGATCCGCCGGTGGGTGGGCATTTGGAGACAAGCGCGCTGCTGGAGGCTGACCGTTGCTCACCTCTTTTTCAGGTGGCCTCGATGCAGGGCTCAAGGCGAAGTGCGGCCGCGGCCACGGGCGACCGTGGCTTTGCTTACGTCGGCCTCTGCTTCCTGCTGCTCAGATACCTCGGCGCGGCCGGGAGCAAGAGCTACCCTGCGTTTCCCCAGCCAAAAACTCTGTTTGCGCTGCCGGGGCACACCCGCTGCCGAGTCGAGCAGGCCAGTCCTGCCGTTCCCCGGACCTGGCCGCGTCCTCCCCCTGCGGCGGGCCACGCGCAGCCCCAGCCCAGAGCCCCGCCTCCGGGGCTCTCAGGAGCAGAGGGTGCCGTGCGCCCCGGGGCCGCACGGCACCGTCGGGGCCTCCAATGCTGCGGCGTCTTGGGACTGTAAGGGGCTGACGCGCGGGCGGCCCCCGCCCAGGCCTCTTCACCCGAAGCCACGGCTCTGCAGCGGCGCTTCCCAGCAGCAGCCGCGGCGCTGGAGCCCTGCTGGGCCCGGCCCGGGGGCGGGGAAGCCACTCTGCTGCAAGCTCTCCTGTGGGCCGTCCAGTTCCCAGCGGAGTCTCCCTCCGAGCTGGCTCACGCTGCTTCGGAGCTGGGAGGCCTGGGCCTTCACGTGCATTCACCTGCGACGTTAGGCCAGGTGGGTTGGGATAAGGGAAGTCCTCGTGGCTCCCAAACTCGGGTGTGCAGTACAGTCTACTGCGGAAGTGTTTAAAATCCTGTGGACGCCTTCTGCTGGTCTGAGTGCTTCCTGGGGACCTGCATTTTAGCCAGGAGTTCTACGTTATTTGGGGCTCTTGGGGAATCAACTGCCTTTTGGTGAGGAATCTTAGTTATTTTCTCTGTGCAGAGGATATTTTTTCATGCCTCTAATAAATCAAATAATAGTGAGGAAAGCTACTTGAAAACTACAAGTATAACATAGAACTACAACTACTATTTGAGTCAAATAAAGGGCATGCCCAGGATAGACCATTTTTAAGGAACTGAAAATGTTTTAAGTGATTAATGTACAAGACAGTGGACTTATTGATGATTTTTTTATTTAAGCATTTTCAGATATATTCTAAATAGCATTTAAGTTAGACAACTCAGTTCTTAAACATTCATAAGATGCCTTGCTGCCTTTAAAATATTATTCAATTTTTTTATCTTTAATTCTTGAAATACAATTTTCAATGGAGTTAGAAAGGAACAAGAGGCCTCCTTTAAACTTAACTGATCCCCATTTTCTTCGACTGCTGCTGTTAATGCTTTTTTGTCATATCCTTGCTCATACTTAGTTTCTTCTCCACTCATTGTCTCTGGCCCTCCTGCTCAGGCTTTTACATGTTTATATAATTTAGCTAACTTTTATATATCAAAACCTCCAAGTCCTAGAATTTCTGTATTCTTTAAGAAGGTACCTAGAAGGTAAACATGAGCAAGGTATAACTTTAAAGCAAAATAGTGATTTCATTTGACTAGGTCAAAATAAATTGTCATGATACTGGAACAAGATGATAGAACCCAGAGCTCCAGTTTGTATTCTTTTTATTATGTGATGTGAGCTTGGTCAGGAAAAGGTGCATTTCTTTGTCAGGGTTTAAGAACATAATATTTTCTGAGCATTGTTCCCTCATCCAGGTTGAACACAACTTAAGTGTTTCAGTTACCTCTGGCGTCATCTCACTGACAAAAGTGTTTGGGAAAGTTTAGGACCATTAATCAGGGATTAAGGAGCCATGGTGGTACAGTGGTTACAGTGCTTGGCTGCTGACTGAAAGGTTGGCAGTTCAAACCTACCAGCTGTTCAGCAGGAGGAAGATGTGGCAGTTAGCTTCCATAAAGATTACAGCCTTGGAAACCCTATGGGGAGGTTCTACTCTATCTTATACGGTTGCTATGAGTCAGAATCAACTTGATGGCAATGGGTTTGGTTTTTTTTATTTCATTTTTTTTTTAGATCAGGAATTAAATCAAAACTATCGAGTTGAGAGTACAGTCCAAGGTGTCAAGATATTTAGCTCTGCGTGTGATCTACTGGACTACTCGCTTCTCTCCCAGGGCCTTAGTTTTCTCACCTGTCAAATGAGAGAATTGGACTAGGAAGTCCTTAAAGACCCTTGGACTCCTTGGCTTCATGTACTTGTGGTGGAGAGCCTGGGTAAATTCAATCACATTTAACGCTGAACCCCAGAATGTAACGGATCAAGATTCCTTGGTGCATTGGACTACCAAAGCCACAAAAAATAATTTGAACAGTTATGGGCACTTTTTATTTGTGTTGTTGTGTTAGTATACTGTCGCAGCGGCAACAGTTGTCGGGGCAGCGGAGACAGTAACCAATTCCACAACTCTTACAGAGAACTGGGGCCAGGAGGGTCACTCTGAGGAGTCGAACCCTCTGTAAAGACTATAGCCAATCCTCAAAACATCTCACAACAAGGATGAATCTCTAGGCCATTATGTTGAGTGAAATAAGTCAATCATAAACAAACAAATATTGTATGAGATCACTATTATAAAAACTCAAGGAAAGGTTTACACACAGGAAAAAACAATCTTTGATGATTATGAGGGAGGGGAGGGAAAGGGAGAGGAAATCACTAACTAGATAGTAGACAGGTGTCAACTTTGGTGAAGGGAAAGACAACACACAATGTAGAAGAAGTCAGCACATCTCAACCAAGGCAAAGTTACAGAAGCTTCCTAGACATATCCAAACACCTTGAGGACCTGAGTTACTAGGGCTGAGGGCTGGGGACCATAGTCTTAAGGGACATCTAGGTCAATTGGCATAACATGGTTCATAAAGAAAATGTTCTACATCCTACTTTGTTTGGTGAGTAGTGTCTGGGGTCTTAAAAGCTTTCGAGCAGCCATTTAAGATACATCTATTGGTCTACAGGGATCGCAATAGAGAGTCCTGGACAGAGCAGGAGAAGAATGTAGAACAAAATTCAAATTCATAAAAAAAGACTAGACTTACTGGTCTGACAGAGACTGGAGGAACCCCGAAGACTATGGCCCTCAGACACCCTGCTAACTCAGAACTAAAGCCACTCCTGAAGCCCACTTTTCAGACAAAGATTAGATAGGCCTATAAAACATACAGAGCCCTGGTGGTGCAGTGGTTAAGAGCTCAGATGCTAACAAAAAGGTTGGCAGTTCCAGTCCACTAGCTGCTCCTTAGAAACCCTATGGAGCAACTCTACTCTGTCCTGTAGGGTTGCTATGAGTCAGAATTGACTCAACAGCAATGGAATAAAACAAACAATAACACACATGAGGAATGTGATTCTTAGTTCAATCAAATATACAAGACCAAACGGGCAACTTCTGCCCGAAAGCAAGATGAGAAGACAGGAAGTGACAGGAAAATTGGATGAATGGACATGGGGAACCCAAGGTGGAAAGGGGGAGAGTACTGTCACACTGTGGGGATTGCAATCAGTGTCACAAAACAATTTGTGTATAAATTTTTGAATAAGAAACTAACTTGCACTGTAAACTTTCAAAAAAACCAAACCCGTTGCCATTAGGTCAATTCCGACTCCTAGCGACCGTATGGGACATAGTAGAACTGCCCCATAGGGTTTCAAAGGAGTGGCTGGTGGATTCTAACTGCTGACCTTTTGGTTAGCAGCCAAGCTCTTAACCACTGTGCCACCAGGGCTCCAAGCACAATAAAATTATATGTCTTTAAAAAAAAAAAAAAAAAAGATTACAGCCAAGAAAACCCTGTGGAGCAGTTCTACTCTGTCACATGGGGTCGCCATGAATCAAAATCACCTCCAAAGCACCTACCAACAACAAACTCCTTTCTAAGTTTATTTTTAACATCCATTAGCTGGGCATGTTCTTCATGTTTTTTGTTCTAAAACCAAGCCATTGATTTATGAATAAAAAACGAGCAAAGCCTATGTCTCATCATATTGGTCACTCTCTCTAGAAGAGTCTAAGTGGAAAAACAAGCGTGCCCATGTGCATACCCCTGTCCACTCATGGACACACAAACAAACACATTAAAAAACCTATGGTCCCACTGTCTTTGGCCTGTAAAGGCCACGGTTAACTGCAAAGTTAGCATTTCTGTATGATATTCTCTCCTGTAGTTAATTCGATTCTGTGGATAGCTTTGGATAATCACAGGCTTAGTGACATTTGCTTTGAGCTATGGTTGTGTGTGGTGTCCTATAGGGTTGCTATGAGTCGGAACTGAGTCAATGGCAATGGGTTTTTTCTTTTTTATGGTTATGTGTGGAATTAAAAAGAACACTTCTACTCTAATAACCACATAGTTTTTATATCTAAGTCTGTTACTTTTCATTTTAAGATAGTTGTATTAAATTTTGGTACTATAAAACCTCACGTAATCTAAGGTTTTTGTATACGCAAATAAGTGAAGAGCCTAAGGCTTCATGTTGGTACAAAGTTAGAATGTTTGGGATATTTAGGATCTATGTTAAGTTTAAAGTTCTTGAAATAGGAAGTCATATTACGAAAATTACCACTTTTAACTCAATCTGTAGCCTTTTCACAGTGCTTAAGCTAGAAGGAAAAAACAAGGAACAGTTATGCAGCAGTCATCCTGGCTCTTCCTACTGTGATACAGGAGGAAATGAAGTCTCACCTGAGGATACACTGGTCCTACAACTGGAGCTTGCAAAGGGACGAGGAAAATTTGTTGACATGCAGATTTGCAGCAAAAACTCATAGAACGACAGCAAATATTAGCCAGCAATGAGATAGACTAGCAAAAGAAAATACCTGAGCAAATGAATCTGATTACACTCCAGGACGGTGTGCTCTTTGACACTGTGAAGCAGAAGTGTTTTCATAGCTTGCAGAAGGACATCCAATGTTATTTTGAAACTCGTCTATGGGGTCTACAGAACCAGGTCAGAAATCATCTCTAGAAGTCATACTCTGTGCATAGAGTTGAAGCTAATGCAAAAGTGATTGATGTTGGAGAAAGCGCGCTGGACCGAGGCCTTTGTGAAAGTGATGAATTTTGCAGTTTCCCAAAGAGACCATCACAGTGTGAAAACCACATGCTATGCCCTGCTGGTTTTTTCCAGGTGTCTGAATGTGCCACAATCGCAGATCAGATTTGTCAGGTGAAATACTATAATCTTATCCATTATAATTAGTGCTTTAAAGATACTTCTGTAAGGCAGGGGGCTGCATTCCCTAAAGTTGTTGAAGTAATTATGACTCTTAAGTTCAATTTTACTTGGGTTAAAAAAAAGTTACGGTAAAATATTTCAAATTAATTTTTAAATGTTACAAAATGAGCAGCCTCATCATTTTTATTTACAAAAGTATGCTGGTTAAAAAATAGTGTAACCTAAATAACTTTTTGGAGTTCCTGGGTGGTGCAAATGCTTCAGCACTCGACTACTAGCTGAAAGGTCGGTGGTTTGAACCCACCCAGAGGTACCTCAGAAGACAGGCCTGGCGATTTGCTTCTGAAAGGTCACGGCCTTGAAAACCCTATGGAGCAGTTCTACTCTGCACACACGGGGTCAGTATGAGTTGGAATCTACTTAACGGCAACTAACAACAACAACAACAAATAACCTCCTAGGTGCAGATTTGCAAACAGCATGCATCTGAACTCAGTTGGTATTTCTAGTTCTAAATTTCTTTCTCTTTCCATAATTTAGTCAGAAGGTACATCATTCCTCAAAATAAGCAGACAGAATCAACATAAAACTGTCCTTATGTCATCTATATTTTTGTGACTTAAACAATGTGATGATTATACTTTTCAGGATAGAGATGAATGCATTGGATCTCCAAATATATGTGGTGAAAGGATAAAATTGTCTCAACACTCCCGGTTGTCTGTGAAGTGTCCATTTTTAATAAAAATGAAAGAAAGGATACTAATAACAGGCATGAATCCCATCACTTGAGATGTTTTCAGACACACGCACACACAAAGGAACTCCAGCACTCACACCCTTAATTCTTACTCAGTTGTATAGGGATTAATAATTTCTCAACTTTCTAGGGGAAATTTCTAGTTCTACATTGCCTTCCTTTTATTTCTCAGTACTCTTTTGGGAATTCCCCTATCATCTGCCTTTGAGTTCTCAGCACACACAAAGATATTTTAATGATTTTCAAAGCAGAATGTAATTTAGAAGGTAAATTGGATGCAAAAGCATCATACAATGTATTTGAAAGCCAAAAAGACTTGAGTTTGGTTGTTTGGGTTTCCTTGATGCTTCCACTAATTAATACAGGTAACTGACCCAGCTCAAAAAAAAAAAAAAAAAAAAAAAAAAAAAA